CTGTAACAATCTGCTGACCAGGCAGATCATCTGATTTTAGATCTGCCAAGATCATTTCCAAACCTCTATGTGACCTGGAAGAGCTCAGCAACTTAGCTTTATGTTTTGTTTTGTTTTTTAACCCACATAAGCAGTTTCTGTTTGAGATTTAAATTTCTAAAAGCAGCTAAAATGGAGGATTTCTTGTTAGGATTTGTTCAAACTCACCCTAATGGCATCTCTCTACCTCAGATAAAAACTGTAATTCATACATCATAGAAGAAAATTACACATTTAAGTAATAACTAATGAAGTTTTCAAGAAAATTAATTAAAAGAAGACACTTTTTATGCTTCTAAGGCTATAATTCACGTCCCATTTATCAATTAAGCTCATATGCCTGTTTTCAAAGCACACTACTACTTTGTGTAGAAACTACTACACAAAGTGTAGAAACTACTACACAAAGTACTAGTGTAGTAGTTTGTAAAATGACTAACTTTGGCTAAAGTTTGTCATTTTAGTCAAATTCAGCACATTTGCAGCAAGGTGTTTCTTAAATTTAAATGATGCAAAATTCATTTTTTGCACTTTTTTCTTTTTGACATCCATTTGGGTTTTTATTGCCCATAGACCTATCCTAACTTGTTCAGAAGGAAACACAATAACATCCCTTTAATAGTTGAACTAAAATATTTAGCAGAACATTTTTACGTCATTGCAGGTCATTTTTATCACTACATCTATTTAATAATACTATGCATGTGCACATGCACAAAACCTTAATTACTTAATTGGCTGTAATAACTTCACCTTTATGAGGATTAAAAATAGACATAAGATGCTACAGAGAAGAAACACCACAGAGTCATGCTGTACAGGTTTAACTGGAGAATAAAAACCACTGATCCCAGTGGAGTCTTCCTCAGCTGTCCCAGTCTTCCTCTCTCTCCCCCACAGTGAACGGCTTTGACTCGTCACCAGCCAAGCTACTTAGTTTGCCGGTGTTGAAACAGTGAAACAAGGTGCTGAATATGAATCAGTAGTATGTAGGCCATGTTGTTCAGGTAGCAGTAGCAGTGGAGCGTGTACCGGCTGTTCGCCTGTTCTGGCTCCAAATGTACATGCCTGTTCTTACCAATGTTACAGGAAAGAGCTGCAACACCTGACAACACCCTGCTGAAGTATAGCCAAAGGTATATGGTATATTATCTGTCGGACTTGACCTTGGAAACGTCCTGGTTGATGTGACAGACCAACCAGAGAAGAGGGCTTTATTTTATTGTGATGACAGTCTTTGCTGTTGAGTAAAGGATTACTGTATGTTACACCATTGTGGAACCATCTACATTGATCAGGTTTAAATAAATAAAATAACAGATGAAATAAGAACCGTCAAAAATTATTAACAGAACAGTTTCGATGCCAGCTTTTGATCGCAGCGTAAAACTGGCCGCAGCCACTTTGATGTCTCGAGTTTCCAAAGAGGCGTGGGAATGTTCTCCACAGGCATGAAGTTTGGATGTTCCACGGGGAATATCACTGGTTGTTTAATTGAACCTTTCTATTTATGATGCCGGCGTCGTCTCGCAGCAGCAGCAGTAGCGTAGGAGACAAGTGCAGCATCCCAGGAGACGCTACCAAACAAGGAGGAGCTCATTACAGCGCGCCGGCACGGAGAACTCCTCCGCTCCGCCGGGCCTGCTGTATTATTCAGTGATGTAAAACTGAGAGAGTGGGTTATGAGGGCATTACACTAAGATTACAGAGAATAGCCTGAGCCCATCATAGAGTGGGCAAGGAAGATTAGAGAGAAAAAAAAAAAAAAACAACTTTGCAGATTTACAGATTAACACAACTCACATCTGTAGCGAACCAAGAAAGGAAAACTGCTATGTAGGTCAGTGAGCACCTGCATGATTTAAATGCTATTGATCTGCACCGCTGTCTTGCATCGCGATCACAGTGACTGTGGACTCATCCCCGGCTCCGTTAGGGGGTTGTTTAAGAACGGCAAGATGCCAGCAGGAACTGAACTGGGCCCAGTTGGAGAAAGGTGCTTGGAAAGAGAGCGGGAAACGCCCCTCCCATGTCCCATCATCAGCACTTCCTGATATTTTACTGGATTTGTTTTTGCTGAATTGTAAAACACTTAGAGGGAAATGCTGAAGGTAGTTTTTTCTGGATGGTTACTTTAGCAATATTTTTACATGCATCAATCTGATCTTCAAAAATCTGTTTATGCCTCTTTTTTATGTTTTATGAGTAGGAGGTTTAACGTCAGAGCAGAGAGTTTGGATTGACAGACACTAGAAATCCAGCTAACATATTCTGAAAAATGTTTATACAACAAAACATTTTTAGGGTATTTTACTTATAATCAGATAGATTACTTTGAAATACAGAGCAGAGGACAACGTGGCAGAAATGAATCATGAATTGGTAAATTTACAATTGACTGATGAACTACTACATTTTGGTAAATCAAATCTGTATACAATGTGTATGCAAGTTCTAGGGTAGCGTGTTACTTACTTGTGAAGATGTTCCTTCTGTGCCTTTAAATAATAACACAAGGATATATTTTTTCTAATCAAGGGTTAGAAGTATGCCAGAAGCCAGTCCTTTTGTGTGGGGGCTTAATGTGATTTCCTGGACAGCTGTTTTCAAGGCACATCTCTCTAGCTTTTTTTATCTCCATGTCAAGCTCACTTAGGTACTTAATCTGCTTTAATACTGGCTGAATCAAGGAGGAGCGTGTGTGTGGACTGGGAGGAAACTCCAGTACTTGTGTCAGAGCAGAGGGAAAACTGTTGACGGCTTTGTGTGTGTGAGAACATAGGTGGACAATATTCCTATCTAGAAATACAGCTGGCAGATTCAGAACGCCACTTTGCCCCGGATAGACTACAGTGTTGTGATGACAACAAAAGACTTTTACATGCCAAACATTTGTAGGTAAAGAAGAACTAATTATGGGAGAGAAATCTGAACAATAAATCAGTCAGTGGCACAAGTTCATGGTAAACAAAAATGTTAATATTACAGTTTTCAAATAGACATTCTTATTAGACAGACAGATTGTGATAGCTGTAGATTTAACCATTACATACACTTGGAGCCTGAGGTTGTACTTATGACAGCAACAAACATTAATTTCTTTGTCCAATAGTTCGATCTCAGTTTTTTTATTATTATTATTATTTGGTTGAATGATAAGGCCGAAAAACATATCACACTATAAGGGTTTCATATCAGTTCAAATTGATAATTATTTATTAGTTTTTTTTGTTGTTGTTGTTTGTTTTAAATATCCAAAATACTGCCCTTTCCTCTTTTATACACAAATTCCTCCCGAGGTGTTGTACTCATTTTCTGCTTTCGCGCCACGCTGCTGTTTTTTTTTTTTTTTTTAAGCAGTTAAGAGGCACAGCGGCGAAACCCTAAACTGCTGCTGTGCATTTGTTTTTCCCCTTAGTGAGCACCTATTTACGCTGGTGTTGTGTTGTGGCTGTGAGCACCAGCTAAGTCTAAGCTTCTATCTTGTTATGATCTTGGGTTTGAGCCTGGGCTAATCAGCTTAGGCTTGTCTGCTTTAACAGGTGACCGTAGACTCTGCTGTGTGTTCAGATGCCAGTTGGCTGAGGTCACTTTAGTCCTGTTTGAGTGCTTTCCTTTGAATCAGAGGGCTTAAGCCCCCCACCGCTAATTAGAGGCTGACTGCACCATTTCTACTGGAGGACATTCACCGGTGGCGTCGCACACTTGTGGCCCGTCCTGTTCAGTTTCACATCCCCGACCTGAAAGGACCACGGCTGAAAAACATATCACAATATTGTTGTTTCGTATTAGTTAATTATTGATTATTTTTGTGTTATCAGTGTCTAAAATACTGCCAAACTGGTGACTTGACTTTTCCTGTGTTATCCACATTTTTTTCCTTTCCTTTCCATTTTTTATGTGCTATGCGGTTCTGGATCGGCGTTCAGAGAAATTATTGAATATTCTATCAAACATGTTATATATTAACATTGTCACCTTCCTAATATAGTTCTGGCCTAAGTAATCTTTTGCCAAATGTCTTTTTTTTTTTCCTCCAAGTCATCTTTTTAGGCCATTATTGTAGGACGGTGACAATATTGATCATGTCTATCTCTCTATATTTCACTGATTGGTTCTTCAGCCCTTCCTACGCCTCGAAGTTCTGGTGGTTCAGGTCCAGCTTCGCCGTGACTTTTTGGGGGCCTGAACTCTTCCAATGCTTGCCACATATCCTCGTCGAGAAAGCAGCATCTTGCTGATATGAATGCTCAGTAGAAAATAGCCTGACGGAAATAGATTTTCAGTGACCCTGCATCCAAAAGCCAGGCCATCATTTTAGATCGCAGCAGATCTAAGTGTTGATGAGCGCGTTCTTCGCTTAACAGTCATGTGGAAGTGATTTCCACGAATTTGTTCGCGGACCATGGGCTGTCAGGATGATTCAGCGGAGGCCCCTCCCACCGCCCCATCCTTCACATCTTTCTGGGGTGTTTTTGCACTGTTAGTCCCACATGGACAGCAGCATCAGGCCCAGAGATAGACAGTGAGGAGGGGCGGGGGAAGAGAGGCTCGGCAGGCAGTTAAACTACTGCCATGGTGAGCTCGCCCTGAAAAGGCCACATGCCTCCCTGCACAATTATCCACTGTGCATAGAAGCAACACCCCAACCTTCCCCCCTCCCCACCCTCAACTTCCACACACACCCACGCTGACATGCACACACTCGACCGGAAGACGGACAGTAACAAAGCGAGGAGAAATACTTCTGCCTGTCCAGATTGTCCCGCAGATTTAGACTTTATGCTCCCTTTGATTATGTTTGTGAAATTGAATACAAGCATGAAATCCTTCCCCGGGGAGGGTGTTAGAACAAGGCCAACATCAGCGGAACCAGCTTGGATTGGACATGTAGCACGAGATCATCAGTTCATCATGAAAATCCAGAGTCTTATGTTGCCTCCCTGCTTGTTATGTTGCAGGTTACTTCAGTGCGTTGGCAGTGGTGCTAAAAACAAGCGAGGAATTCCCCTCCACAGACGAATTTAACAGTAAGAGCGTAACGACCGAACGCACAACCCGAAACGGCCCCAGAATGAACTCATCACCTGCTGTTTCTCTTCCTTTGCAGGGGTCGAGTTGTCATGTTTGATTGAGTCCATATCCACAATAAACCCACGGATCGAATGGAAAAAGATCATCAACAACAAGCCGAGTTACGTTTACTTCGACAGGAAGATCTCGGGTAAGGCTCAACGTCAGCTGCTGCTGTTTCTCTGCTGCTTGTTGTTCAACTCTTTTCATCTCTCCCATCAGGTGACTTGGAGAACAGAGCTGTGATCAGAGAGCCGGCCACGTTGGTGATAACCAACGCCACAAGGTCAGACACAGCCAAATACCGCTGTGAGGTCACCGCCGCTGACGACGCCAAGTCATTTGACGAGATTGTGATCGACCTCGTAGTGAGAGGTACTTCGGCTTCTTTTCATCCCCAATTGAACTCTGTGTGCTTCTGTTGGAAAATAAAAATAAAATAAAAAAACCTACAGGAAACGCAGAGCAGGAGCCGCTACCTTGCCCTTAAAAGGCAGACTTCACACTGCGGATGCTGTAAAGTGAAACCCTGTTGTAGGTCGCACTGACCTGGGTGGCATACTCTCTAGGATGCGTTCAGAACTGCCCAGCTGCAAAGGCGTGTTCTGGGCTATAAGAGGAAGGCTCTGAAACTGCATCTGTTCTGAACTGCAGAGCTAAAGAAAGCATAAGCCGCGTGTTTCGGTGACGTTTTCTGGCTGGTTTTCGCCAGGTCCTGTCAGTGGTGCCACTTCAGTGACCCACGAGTTTTTGGCCTTTCTAAAAGCTTCGGGCTGATTTGTAGACATCAGTTTGTTTCTCCTCGGTGATGCTTTTGGACTGTAAAAGCTCGAGATGTACTGTCCTGATTCGTGTCATATGTTCTGTGCCACCACAGTGAAGCCGGTGGTGCCAAAATGCAGCGTTCCAAAGTCTGTGCCTTTCGGGAAGTTAGCCGAGCTCAGCTGCGTGGAGGAGGAGGGCTTCCCCAAGTCTCAGTACCAGTGGTTCAAGAACAGCGAGGAGATTCCAGAGGACCCCAAGTCCAGTCCCAAATTCCTTAACTCCTCATACACGTTCAACACAGGAACAGGAACTCTGGTCAGTATGCGGGTGCACGTGTCTGGGCAAGGACACACAAGCGAGGCGTGGGCGGGGCATTGAGGGGACAGTGGCCTAATGCCCAGGGGAAGGGGCAGATATTTTAGGGAGGCAGTCGAGGGGCTCGGGCCGCGACAGGAATCTGCTCTCCTCGTTTGCACATTCCTCAATTCTAGGTTAGTTTCCAGCACAGCTTAGACTGCTGCGCTCTCAGCCGTCAGATGTGACCCAGCACCAGCCGACTGCTCTTTGTCTCAGAACCAGGCAGAGCGGTCAAGACGAAAGACATTTCAAAATGGTTCCTTCAGTTCTGTCTCGCTTTCTCTCCTAGCCTGTTCGAAAAGGAGCGCTCAGTTCCAGTCTTCACAGAAAAAGTAGCTGTAAAGTGTTAAGAACAAAGTCAAAGTAGCTGCATTTCCATTGCAAATGGAGTTTTTGTCAATATTCCATTGATGCCGCAAAAACATAATTTTGCGCTTGAGTTGTTTTCATTAAATAAGAAATCAAATTAAAATCTCATTTGAATAACCTTGTTCACGCAATAAGTCATGAGAAATCATGGCAGCGATGGTTGCATCGTTTCATGAAATGCATTCATAATTCAGCCGTGGTACTAGCGCTCATCATCTATCAGCCATCAGAGGAGACGTCGGCATCTCGTTCAGGGGTCGCTGCGACAAACCCCTCATACCTATGTGCCATTTTGGGGATTTTGTACTTTGTGATTTCACAGAGCTGCTAAAGATTCAACATGTTTGAACAACATGGAACCTTTTATGAACTGTGCAGCTGTGAGAGCTCTGGTGGAGCCGGCTGCTCGTTGTCCAAAAAAAAAACAAAAAAAAATCCATCCTCATACTACTTCCTGTTGTCTTCTTCATTGTTTTCACCAGTAGTCACATCCGGTTGTTGATCACATTGTGTGAAGCGATTTCCGTTGCAGTTTTGTGAAATAAACCCATTTTGATACTGCCAAAAAAAAAAAAAAGAGATCAAAATTAGCATGTTTCCATTAAGCAAATTCATTTTTGTAATTTCAATTTGCTCAATTTTATGGTTAATGGAAATGCAGCTGGTAGTTTCATATTGCATCGTTATTCCTACATAATGAAACACAAGAAACGGTGAACATGGAGAGTTTACTTTTGCACTGTTTACACAGAGCTACATTTATTCAGTTAGTTGAGTAATTTTTTTCTGAAAGGTTACTTTTAGGAGTGTTTTCACTATGTTGACCTTTTTACTTTTACTTTATGAAGTATCGCTGCTCTCACTTAAGTAAAATATCCGGATAACGTGCCCAGTGTGAGCCAGGTTTTGTTAAAGTTGTTGAAGTTTTCATATGTTTATATTGAAAGAACTTGGAATTGGATTTGGAAAAATCTTTCTTTTACATGATTTTGTTATTTTATAATTTTGTAATTTAAATTAATTATATTCATTTTGGTCTTTAAAATACCAAAATTTCCACAATTTTGTATACTTTGGTGTAATTTTTAAATATTGCATAACTGATGATTTGATCAGTGGCCTTTTTACCAAACACTTGTTTTACTCGTACTTGAGCAATTTTGGATCATTTTTACTTTCACTTGAATAAAAATATGCTGAAGTAGTTCTACTGCTACTTGTGTGCAGCTTTTTTGCCACTCTACCCAACCTCTGTTTTTAACCATACTATAACTTACCTTACATTGCATTATATAGAAGGAAAATAACACTCCTGTATATGCAACATTTATGCATTTAGTGCTGTTGTGAACAAAGATGAAGTGAAATGCTTTAGAAAAGAAGCAATTGTACCTCAGGACACAGAATTACAGATATAAAAGCTGGTATGTGCTGCTTTGAAACGGGACACTTGTCTTCAGTTAGTGAAGGTAATCACGAGTCAGGACGCATAATGCAGGAGAACATGTGTTAGATCTGCTGTGGCTTTAGCCTGTCTCTATGTCGCATAATCCCAGACCGACATGCTGTTCCGACCTGGACTCTATCGTGGTTAGACCATCTGTTGCAGGACTTTCTAATGGCTAAAGTTAGTTGTTTTATTTTGACTTTGTGTTGGAATCATTAAAACACATTCCTACTGGTACTGTGTCACTACTAAACCTATTAGTGTGTCCAGTCTGCACACGTAACAACAGAAAAATGGGACAAAAGCTGCAGATTGAGTTAATGTTGGTGGGATAAGTAAATATTTGACTTTGGTTATGTGAAACAACTTTAACTAAAACAAGCAACGTCATCAGAAAACGCTTTGAAGTAGGGAAGCGATTTTTCAGACAAAAAAAAAAAAAAAAAAAATTGGTATCGGCTAAAATCCACATGTCCCACTAGCTGTTGATGACTGGCAGCTAGATGGAGACGTGCACAATTCCTCACTATGTTTCCCTGCTGAAACCTGTTATTGACAAAAGTTAAAATGTTTGTTGAAAATCTTTAACTCTAATTTGTTGATCCTTTTTTTCTTGACACTTTGCGACTGCTTTACACGCTTGAAATGAAGCAACAGATCGTAGCAGTGAAAAGGTCGATGCAAAAAACTGAAATATTGTTGACTTCATGCTGTCGACAGTGAAATACTAATCAAATTGTCTCGTGACAATAAACTGCTGAGCACTATTTACTGAGATGTATGTTCATCTACAAATGAAAACTAACTGGAGTAAAACCTGTTTATGCTAACATATGTATTAACCTTATTGCACTAAATCCTGAAGAAATGAGCATTAGCAAAGGATTCTTTAACCAAATTGCCACTTTGTCAAGAAAAGTGAGCAGATAATTTTCCTATTTAAGTTTAATTCAAATTAAATTACTCATCTAAATATAACTTTGCCTGATTGACAAGTCACATTTGGTCTATTAGTGGTTAGCATTAATATGGTGTGAAAGTCATTCCTTGTTCTTTGGTAGTGACCGTCAGTGCCAAGCAAAGCCAGAGTCTTCATCCTGTAATGTGTTGAGATGTTCTTAAATAGCAAGTGACTGAAGAAAAGAAAAGTGCAGTCGCAGGAGGGGCCTGTATTATTCTGACGTGTTTCACTCTCTCTCCCTACGCAGAGATTCACTTCAGTCATAAAAGAAGATGCAGGCGAGTATTACTGCCGAGCGAAGAACGATGCAGGACATGCTCAGTGTGCACCCCAGAAGATGGAAGTGTGTAAGTGTTAACTGTCTCCATCAAACAGACCGTGTTTGTCACTGTTGTAAATAGTCAGTCATGTTTATTTTTGTAGCACATTTTCAGTAACAAGCGCTACGTTTTGTCAAGTTGCTTATCATCAAAATCCTCAGATAAGTTCATCAATGTTCCAGTGATTAAGGGACAAAAGTAGCTCTAAGCAGACTGGATTTTAGCCTTGATTTAGCCTAAATCCTGCTTCTCCGTGTTTGGTTCTGGTTCTAAGCATGCAGACCATAACCAGATGACCTGAGTGGTCTGAAAGGTTGATTAAAGGTCGTTAATGTATTTTGGTGCTAAGCTGTTCAGAGATTTGTAAACTAGCAAATGCATCTGAAAGTATATTCTCTGAGCTACAGGGAGCAATTGGAAGAACTTTAGAACCGGGGTGTTGTGCTCCGTCTCCGTGGTTTAGTGGGAACGTGAGCAGCAGCGTTCTGGATCAGCTGCAGCCGTCTGACGTTTTAGGCAGGAAGACACCGTTGCGGTGATCAATCCGTTTAAAGTTAAACACGTTTCTAGATTTTCATGGGACGTCCTGGAAATGTTCCTAAGGTGACAGAAGGCTGACTTTGTAACTGTCTTTATGTG